GATGTGAAGAATGTGTAATTTATTAATAAAACCTAGCAGAGTGAAATCATAATTACACTTTGATGTGAAGAATGTGTAATTTATTAATAAAACCTGGCTGAGTGAAATCATAATTAAACTTTGATGTGAAGAATGTGTAATTTATTAATAAAACCTGGCTGAGTGAAATCATAATTAAACTTTGATGTGAAGAATCTGTAATTTATTAATAAAACCTGGCTGAGTGAAATCATAATTAAACTTTGATGTGAAGAATGTGTAATTTATTAATAAAACCTGGCTGAGTAATATCATAATTAAGCTATGTAAAAATATATACTAACAGTTATTAATTTTTTGTGTTTTAAAGCCTATTGAAAAATCGTTAGTTTTTCAATCTGATTATATTTTGAAGTATTGTAATTAATATGATTTTACTCAGTTCTTAAGTTTTTGTTTAGAAAACATCCACTAAATACTAGCTTCAGTGGTGGTTCTGAATCAAAATGTATTGTTACAAATATACATAAATTATTGAACAACTTTATTAATTGAATAGAATATCATTTAAATAGGAAATACAATTGTAGTTTGTGGTATAATGGAGGCTAACAACCCAAGTTTTTTCAATGTTACCATTATTACATCTGGATATGCTGGCATGTAAGTGGGTGGAGATCAATTATCACCCAGATTGAGCCACAAATGGTGCCCCTGTCCAGAGTGATCTTCACATCTAGTGTCTTTGTGAGACACTGTCCTTTACATAAACCAATAGGGGAAAACTTCTGACATTAGTCTCTCACTTGGTGCAAACTGCAACTGTTTATCTGGTGTCATTCCTATTTTATTCAATTAAGAAAGTGGTTTAAATATTTCTCTCTTTGACTAACTGGGTATGACTGTATATACTTTTATGCATGTACATTCTTAAAGAAAACATAGTATTTATTTTTTTTTGCCTTATCATAAATTACAGTTACTATTAATTAATTCAGTTAATGATGTGTTTTTAAAAAGTTTACTTGAGCTACAACTTTCCACACTAGACAAAAACTTTACCATCATCAAGAAAAGGATAGGCTGTTTATTTATTTCTCTCTAAGATATAAGGAGACAAACTTTTTAACCATTAAAAATATAAGTAATGCTATTCAATTCACATCGTGGCAGGTGTTGTTAGAAATAAACCTGTGCAGGTTATAATTTTTATATATATATTTATTATAGAAAAAAGTGCATCTCATGATCTGCAAGTTTCTTTTTTTTATGTGTTTCTTTTTCACGTTAAATATAAAAAAGTTTTTAAACTTTTTTATAACTTTAATATAGAACAACTGAGAACTTTGATTGGTGTTCGATGTATATATCTATTTATGTTACACAGCCTCACAAGGAAACTAAGGGCTGCGACTGCCACATCTTTTGGTAAGTAATATTCTAGAAATGTCTTTGATATTTCATTCATCTGTATCTATAGTTGTAGATAAGTTTCTATTATCAAACAGATTCTCACTGATGGCAGATTACTGTAATGGAATTTAAAAAGAAATGAAGTTTGTGAGTGTGTTGATTTTATGTCAAATAATTCAAACAGCTTACTCTGCTTGTCCTGCAATCTAATTGGATACTTTGAAAGGAGATGGTTAGTGTGTGTGTGTGTGTGTGTTCATAATAACGTCTGATCATTTTACTTTTACCAAGTTAACTTTAAAAGATGTTAAAAAAAGTATTTTATAGTGTGTATTTGTAGTAAAATGTAAACATTACAGAAAGTAACTAGCTTTCAAAACCAAATCTTTTAGCTGGTTTCATCAAATGATGAGCAACAACTAATCATCAAAATTCAAGAAAACTAGAAAGTATTAACTTTTGGTTCCTATGTTGTATTTTAATTAATTTTGTTATATATCACTGTTTTAGTAAAACATCTGCAGGTGTAAAACAAGTACACATCTTTTTGCTATTGTTTTTTTTAAAGTAGTTTGTAGTTCATTATTTAAACTTTACTAGCATATACTTTATTCAAGTTTAGAAATAAGTTATGCTGGTAGGGTTAGTATAACTTCTTGTTATTCACTTATCAGGTTTCAAAGTTACAACATTAGTATAATTTTCAGGATTCTTAAATATTATTGTTCTTTACTTCTCACTTTGTTTCTTATTGAAATGGGAGCATACTAAAACACAAAATAATACTAATAATCTATTGAAGTTCCATACACACACACAGATATATAGGCCAAATTTACTACCACTGTAAAAAGCACTGAAATAATGATAAATTATATTTAGACAGAAATTAAACAGGATCTAGATGATCAAAGACACCATTTTGATGGCAAAAACTAATTGTAATTTAACATGGCTAAAGAAATAGTTCTTTCATAAATTGTAGGTTAATTTTCAACAAACAGAATTTAATAACTTATCCCAAGAATTGATACAAATTTAAATAAAAATTGATTATGAAATGATAGTGATAAATATAATATTTTTTTTTTATTAGATTTTGGAAAGAAACTGTCTTATTTTAACTTTTCAGTCAAGAAATGAAGGTGAAAGTTGTATAAAAGATTCTCCTCAGTAAATAAATATTTATTTTTACATACTCCAGGATCTCAAGATTCAGGCCTCAACCGGATTGGTGTCAACGATCTCCCAAATACAAACAAGCATGCTGTGGAAGGGTAAGAAGAATGCCTAATGCACAACAAACTTAGACTCTGGTACTCTAGACACTCTACAGGGGTAGGAAAACAAACCTTGATACTGTACACACTGTACAGGGGTAGCAAAACAAACCTTGATATTGTACACACTGTACAGGGGTAGCAAAACAAACCTTGATATTGTACACACTCTACAGGGGTAGCAAAACATAAACCTTGATACTGTACAGGGGTAGAAAAACATAAACCTTGATACTGTACAGGGGTAGCAAAACATAAACCTTGATACTCTACATGTACAGGGGTAGGAAAACTTAGACTCTGATACTCTACACATTGTACAGGGGTAGCAGAACTTAGACCCTGATACTCTACATACTGTGCAGGGGTAGTTAAACTTAGACCTTAATATTCTACACACTGTACAAGGGTAGTGAAACTTAGACCCTGAAATGCTACACACTGTATAGAGGTAGTGAAACTTAGACCATGGTACTTTTCACACTGCACAAAATAATTGAAATTTAGACCCTGACACTCATCCATACTGTGCAGGAGTATTCAACTTTGGACCCTGATACTCTTCATACTGTACAAGGGTAGCAAAACTTAGACCCTAATACTCTACACACTGTATAGAGGTAGTGAAACTTGGATTCTGATATTCTACAAACTGTACAGAAGGTAGTGAAACTTAGACCCTGGTACTCTACACACTGTACAGAAGGTAGTGAAACTTGGATTCTGATATTCTACAAACTGCACAGAAGGTAGTGAAACTTAGACCCTGGTACTCTACACACTGTACATGTGTTGTGAAACTTAGACCCTGGTACTCTATACACTGTACAGAAGGTATTGAAACTTAGACCCTGGTATTCTACACACTGTACAGATGTAGTGACACTTAGACCCTGGTACTCAGTACACTGTACAGGTGTAGTGAAACTTAGACCCTGGTACTCAGTACACTATATAGGGGTAGTGAACCTTAGACCCTGATACATTACGTACTGTACAAACGATAGTGAAAGTTAGATCCTTGTACTTTTCACAGTATACTAATGGGAGCAAAACTTAGACCATTTTACTCTTCACACTGTGTATGTAAGTGAACAGGTTTTTACAAGTAAAGACAATCTGGCTTAATTTTGTACAGCATTCTTTTTTAAAACAGTTATGTGTTGTTCCAAGTAGAAAAATTAAACATATGTTTTGTTTGTTTCTAGCTCTAACCCTATGTGGAATTGTCAGACAGAACTAAAGAATCAAGAAGATGCTTATAGGTAGGAATATTAATTATTCCATTGTTTTATTTAACTATTATATCAGGTTTAATTATGTCAGACAGAACTAAAGAATCAAGAAGATGCTTATAGGTAGGAATATTAATGATTCCATTGTTTTATTTAACTATTATATCAGACGGAATTAAAGGTTCAAGAAGATGCTTATAGGTAGAAATATTAATTATTCCATTGTTTTATTTAACTATTATATCAGGGATAATTATGTCAGACAGATTTAAAGAATCAAGAAGATGCTTATAAGTAGGAATATTAATTATTCCTCTGTTCTGTTTGGTTGAAATGAATTTTAATGTCTGGGAAGGACCTGCTGAGTAATTAACTTAAAAATACACCAACGTTTACTGTAGGAAAATCCTGTTTTCAATCATTATAATGTTTTGAATGATGGTATTCGATCACCATCAGGTAAGTTGCAATGATAGTTTCAGACTGGTGGTTATGATGACAAGGTTAATCAAATTACTTTTCAATTGAAAATTTTAAATGCCTTTCCTAACAATCCATGTAAAACAAATGTTTCTCTATTTCTTATATATTTAAGTTCCTTCTACAAAGAAAAGTGTATTTTATCTTTTTTTCCTAACATAATAACATAGAAATTAATAGCTACCATAATATAACAGCTTTAATGGTCTAATGAGCTCTTATTTTGTTAATAACATTTTACAGCATGTTTCTATAAAGTTATGCTTGTAAGCATCAGGAGTTTAGTGTGTTATTTATTAGCTGTGTCTAAAACAGACAGGAAACTGTTTCTATATGTTTTTGTGCTTGTAAGCATCAGGAGTTTGGTGTGTTATTTATTAGCTGTGTCTAAAACAGACAGGAAACTGTTTCTATATGTTTCTGTAAAGTTATGCTTGTAAGCATCAGGAGTTTAGTGTGTTATTTATTAGCTGTGTCTAAAACAGACAGGAAACTGTTTCTATATGTTTCTGTGTGCTTGTAAGCATCAGGAGTTTAGTGTGTTATTTATTAGCTGTGTCTAAAACAGACAGGAAACTGTTTCTATATGTTTTTGTGTATTTGTGCTTATAAACATCAGGAGTTTAGTGTGTTATTTATTAGTGGTGTCTGACAACAGACAGGAGACTGTGTCTGTATATTTGTGCTTATAAACATGAGAAGGTCATTGTGTTATTTATTAGTTGTGTCTGATAACAAACAGGAGACTGTTTCAGGAGTTTATTGTGATTTTCTCTTATATTTTGCATACCTTATTTTACTGCAACTCTGTGTATACTATCATGACTTTAGTTGTCATTATTGATAACCAGAGCAAGAACTTAAAATTTCATTTGTCACGTGAACATCTACTTCTCTCTACAGTGTGGATGGATCTGAGAACTCCCTGGACTTGAAGGACTATGGTGGATATTCAGATTTTACTTTTGTAAATAATTTATCTGATCCAGATATTTCCATACCTCAGAACATTAGAGTACAGCCTCCACTCGCATCAGACAAGGAGATGGAGGCATTGGGAATTCAAAACGAGAGTTCTCCACCACCACTGGTCTCACAACAGAACACGTTTAACACTCTGAAGAACATGGAGAATCAGTGGAGGCGCCGCTTAACCCAGGGAGCAGTTCAACCTCCTCCTCCTTATGAACCAAACAGGAGAAGGAGCACATTCATTCCTTCCCAACCTTCTTCTGAGCTCTGATTTCTTGAGATCTGAAGAATAATGCATCCTTAATTTGAATAATGTTAAATACCTGAGTTGTTATCAATATCCTAATTTTTCATCAAATATTTGGTTTTGTTGTATAAGGTTGTAGAGTTCAGTTTCCATCATTGGTACATTTAATTTTTTTAGTTAAATATCAAACTCAAATCTTTATTCCTCTTCATTATTATCAAACTTGATTAATTGTGGATTTCTCTTATTTAGCTGATACTGATGAAAAGTAACATAATTAGTTGTGGAAGGTTCTGATAATTATAAATTTAAAATACTTATTTTAAGGGTCCATGATCGACATGGGTCCAGGAGCAGCTTCCCAATGTATTGCTATGCATCTAGTCACTGAACAGCTACTGAATATATGACTGAACAAGGTTTTAGAAATGGAGGTGTAAAGCTATTTCTGAAAACAGGCTGAAGCACTCATACTAGGAAGTAATATCCGTAGAGATAATGAGTTAAATCAGAATAATTAATAATGTTTATAAAATATACCATCCCTAAAAGGTTATTTAAATATTCCAGCCTCCATTTTTCATATCAGAAATAAATTGAATTTTTAATTTTATATAGAAAATTCCAATGTTAGTAGTGAAGTTTCTATAATTAAGTCTGAATCTCTTGGTTAAGTGGTTAGAAATTCGATGTGGTTTTTCTGTATATGAAATGTACAACATATAGTCTTTAATAAATTTAATTTCTGCTTGAATAATAAAAAGTATTTCTTAAGTAACAATGTACTAAACACTTCACAAAATCTTCTTTAAATGTCAATAATGCAGGTGGTATATGCCAGTTAGTTAGAAAATGTATTTCTACATTTTTTATTACTTTTGAGATATATTGAAGAAGCTACTTTTTCAGCAGAAAACAAATTAACTCTTTCATTAATTCCAATAAGGTACTTTCCCTCCTCTCACAAAATTAACTTTTCTCATTTTGTGCTGCCCTCTATATGCACACTTTTTTCAGAAACGTATGGCACAAGCCTTCATCCTCTCTCTGATGGAATCCAAAGTTCCAACATGTCTCTCATGCAAATCATCATGATCCACCTTTCCACCAATAGAAGAGCACTAATATCACATGACACCTGTGACTCCCTCTACATGCCACTACCGAATTATCACTTCTTGTTTGGCAGCTTTACAGTTCAGACATTCTTTTTTACATTATTCAGTTACCTTAAAGTGGTTTCTTTTTTCATAACTTTATTTCCTACACTTCACAGTTGTGGAGTTAATATTTTAATAAAGCATTACTTCCTCGTGTTTCCCGCTTATGAATTCTGAAATTACAGTCACCACTTCGGATACTTCGCCAGTGTCTGATGCTGTATATTCATCCATGGGCATGGGCAACCTGTCGGGGGATATATCGCCGCTCATTCATTGAGTCTTTTCAGACTTTATTTCTCATGTATGTGATGTTTTGTTACTTACACCTGTTTCCTATGGCCCTAGAAACTTCCCACTTATATGAAACTTCCCAAACTTATTTAGCAATTCCCCCATCCCACGATACTAGCATTCACGTGGACCTATTTACCTCTCAACTGGGGGAAGGCATTCCCCATGGATTTCTGATCAGTTTGCCCTTGCTTATCATTGGGTGGACTTTCCTTTTCTTGACCAACAGTTGTTGGGGTCGGTTCTACCTGTTTGAGAGGTGAACCCAGATTACCCTGTCCAACTTACCCAAGCCCAATTTTCTTGCCTTTATCTCACCCTCATGATCCTGTTCATGTACCTTTCTTTCCTTTACCTTCTGTCAGATGCTCTTCTATGTTGGCTCCAGGCTCCTTATCTGAGGGACCTCCGCATGGTGCCACTTTTTGTTTGAATCGGTTCCAGTCTTTGGAGTCACGGGTGGCATTGGCCCATGGACATTCAACCCTTAATAACTTGGTAACTCGTTTGTCGCAGTTGGGGCCGAGTGCGGCACAAATTCCTGTGCCGCACATCTTCCCCATCCAAACCTCTTCCTGTTCCATTCTTCTGCCCTGCCTCGGTTCAACGATTTACTCGATGACGCACAACCTGCCAACAGCAGTACTGGTGACTATGTGGTCTGTTTAGGCCCAGTGAGGGCTTGTCTATTGGATTTCAATCATCTGTGGGGACTTTTTCTTGCTGATATCTGGATTCACAAGGTGCTCTTGGAGGGATTCATTATCCTCTTTCTCTTTGGGATCCCTTGACACACCAGCGTCTGTCAGAGGCAGTTCAGGACCTCATTGCACAACAGGTTTTTGAACCAGCTCACCAGGTTCATAGGGGTTTTACTCCCATCTGTTTGTGGTTCCCAAGAAGACTGGCATCCTGTCATTGATTTATCCCATCTCAATCAGTATGTTCACACTCCTCACTTAACCATAGAGATATATGTTTCTCTTTGGATGACCAAGATGGACATTCCTTTCCATATCTTTGCTTTGTCCATTGGGGGAGGGGGGGGGTACCAGTTTCATGCATTACCTTTCGGCCTGGACTCAGCACTATACATGTTTTATCGTGTGGTCTGCTTTTTTGCTCGATATATTCATGCCATATGTTGCATTTCCATGTTTATTCGGAAGACAGGAATTGGCCTGTCACACTCATCAGCTTCTGTCCGAAGCTGCGCGGGTGGGCTGGTTGGTCAAATTGGAGAAGTCTTTCCTTTGTCCTACCCAATACCTTATCCATTTGGGTGTTTTCTTCAACACCATCTCAATCGGGCCCAACCTTCTTCTCTCCAGCTCCATCCTAAGGAATGAGCCATTTGGAAAGCCCTGTCTGTTCCCTCAGTTAAACTCTCAAGGTTCTATCACTTTTCGGGATGTTGTCATCCCTGACCCATCTCATACCCCTGGGCAGGGTCCATATGCAGTTCCTTCAATGGCTCCTTCATGATCAATGGATCCTTGCCCGGGATCCCTTAGATACTTCTATATCCCTTGTAGACAATCTTCATTGGTAGTTGAACAGAACCCACATGTCGGTGGGGATCCCACTTCCTCCTTCATGTCTAGATTTACATCTGTTAATGGATGTATCCCTTCAGAGCTGGGATGCCTGGGTGGATCAGCAGGAGGTTTCAGGTCATTGGTCTGTGGATGAGAGAGTTGTCTTCTCAAACTCCTGGCTGTTTGTTGGTCTTTGGTTCAATTTCATTCTCTTGCCAACCACTGACTGGTTATGATCCATTCCTACAATCACCAAGGTGGCACCAGGTCTAGATCCCTAATTTTCCGCACTGTGGATCTTCATTTTTGGGCCCTCAAACATCACATTTGTTTGGTGTGTCATGTACCAGTTGCTTTCAATCTCATAGCCAATCGTTTTCCTGACCAGATTTAGTTTATCCCAGAGAGTGGTCCCTGCATCCTGCCGTTTTTGGTGGCTCTGTCTACATGTGGGTATGTCCCATATCGTTGCCTTTGCCACTGTTCTCAATCACCTTGGTTTTGGTCCCCAGTCTCCTATCCTCAAGCCTTGGCTGTCAATCCCTTCAGCCAGGATTGGTCTCATCTGTTCCTTTATGTTTACCCTTTACCCTCCCATCTGTTAACTTTATCACATGGCCTCCCTCATCTATGCCACTCCATGCATGGTCCTTCTGATTGCCCCTTACTGGCATGCTCAACCTTGGTTTCCTCAGTTGCTCCAACTGCAGGTGGTCCCTCCCCTTTCATCCTGCTCTGTCAACTCCAGTAACCATCTTCATGCCTGCCTTTTGTCAAGTTCATGGCAAGGAGTTCCAGTTCCTCTTGGAAATTAGCTTCATATTTAGCCTGTTCCATTTGCTCTTCTTCTTTTGCCATCTATCAATGCAAATGCATTTATTGCTTCTGGGCATTGACTCAGGGTTTCCAGGCTTCTCACCCAATGGTTGCCTGTATCTCTGAGTTTCTCACATTGCTCTTTTAGCGGGGTTATTTGGTTTCAGGGGTTCGGGCGACATTATCCTATACATTCCGTTTTTTTTTAAATTTTTGTGGGGTCTTTGCTTCCCCTGTTCTTTCCATGTTGATCTGTTCCTTCCGGCTCCATCAGCCACCGAGGTGTCAGTCGTTCCAGGACTGGGACATTCATGTGATCCTTCATGCCCTCACTTTACCTCCAATCTGATCTCAGTCTATGTGTTCCCTGTTTCACCTCTCTTTGAAGGCGTATTTCCTCCTTCTCCTGGCCTGCAGGCATTGTAGGTCAGATATTTTCCCCCTTGATTTTTACCGGGACCTTGTACCACTCCTCCTACCTTATCCAAAACATACCTTATTGAGCTGCAGAGGTCTTGGGAAAGAAAGCAAGTCCTCTTTTTCCCTATCTGCCTATCCTCTATATCTCATCTCTACCTTTGTCCTGATCCGGATAGACTCCTCTGTCCTGTCTGTGCCCTCTGTTGTTCTATTGCTCCTACAGCTTCCTTTCGGGGTCCTCATTCCCACCTTTTTATCCTTCCTCTTCCAGTGATCTTTTCCTGGTTATCCTGACCAGTTGGGTTCGACATTTGATCCAGTTGGCCTATTCCTCCTTGTCTCCTTCCCAGTGTGATCTCTTTCATGTTTTCTCACATCAAAGCTGTCACCTTACCTTCTCCCTTGCCTCTCGTCTTTGTCAGCCATTGGAAGAGATTCTATGATCAGGCATGTTGAGAACTCCATACATGTTCATCTCCCACTACCTATAATACATCGCTGTTTTGCTACCTTGGGTATCACCTGCTGCTATTCTACAGACTTCAGCATGGCTGTGACATGAAGTTAGCCCTCACTAATACTTTCTTTTCTTTTAGAAGCCTGTGCTACAGTTTCACTTTGAATCCCGCTGTCTGTCTTCCCCTCTCAACTTGTCTTCTGTGTCGCATAAGGTCTACATGGCCTATTTCAGCTTCTGTCCTGGGTTTCCCTTGTTGGGTGATGAGGTTTTTACCAACCTGGGGTTGTTTTCATGGTTGTGTGGGTTGAGTGCATGTGATGGACTTCCCTCGGATTCAAGATGACACATTCCTGGATCCCTGGCATTAGGCTACCCTGTGAGTTCCTGGAGTCAAATGTTAGCTTCCCTCTTGATTCTGAGACTTGAGGTGAAGATGGTATGATCCTCATCCTACCCTCACGAGGATGTCGGTACCCATCAAGTGAGGTTTGGGATGTAGTTGACTTACGGAGTATGGTCCGTTGTGGCCTAGCCACTGTACACCATGGGACACATGCCCACTTTCCATTGTGGAACTGAGTGATTCTGGTTTCTGTTTAACATCACATTGCTAAACTATCCTCTCCCATGCAGATGTACTCCCTATAATGTTCTGCCATGTCTGGTTCTCCTTATGATATTGATGTTTCTGGTGAAGAGATACCTGGCTCAGATGTGGTGTTGTACCCCTCCTTAGATCATCTGATCTGTTATTCTTATTTCAGGGGTGTCCTCTGGATGCTTCCCGGGGATAAGCCCGTGCTTCCCTCGCACCAATCCCTCCTCCATTTCAATGTGGGATGTAAGCTAATCTTGTGAGAGGAGGGAGAGTACCTTATCGGAAGTTATAATTTTCCTAAATGAAAATGTATTTCTGATAGGTACTGCCCTCCACTCACACTTCCCACCCATCCTTCCCAATATCTTCCAGTACTCGTGTTTTCTGCTAAACTTCGAAGTGATAGTTCAGTAGTGGTGTGTAGAGGAGTTACGTGTGTCACTTGTTAGTAGTGCTCTCCTATTGGTCAAGAGGTGATGCATGATGATTTGCATAAAAGACGTGTTTGAACTTTGGATTCCAACAGAGGGAGGATGAAGGCTTCTGGCATGCGTTTCAGAAAAAAGATCACATATTGAGGGCAACATAAAATGAGGAAAGCTAATCTTGTGAGAAGAGGGAAGTACCTATTGGAAAAACATTTTCATTAAGGAAAATTATAACTTTTCACACTAAATCCCAAAAAGTGTCAATTTTCCACCAAAAAATAAAAGTATGAATTGGGCCCTTTGTATTATTTTTTCAATATTGAAAAAAGCTGTATTTGCATTATCTGACAGTAATATTCCATGAAAACTGTAATAGATAGTGAAAAATAATGATTAAAACAAACAATTAAGGAAAATTAGAAGAAAATTGTTCTTCAGTAAATGGCATAAATATAGTTAAAACTAAGCTAATAAGAGGCCAAAATCATTACAAAATATAAAACAAATTATTTAGATAACAATATCCAAAATATAAAGACGCTGTATTTATATAGATTCTATATGTGTTCTTGCAAAGTTGGAAATTTTGTAATGAGTCATGTAAACATCCAGATTTCATGGTGAGAACACAGATAGCAGCACGTATGCATGCAGGTTTGGCAATTGTTTCAAGTACAAGGAAACATTTTTTGGTAGCCGTGGGGTAAATCTGAATTTTGCGGTCAGTTGTTAGAAATTTTTATTTGGATATATCCGAACTATGCAGTAAAAGGGTTAATATCATGTAATAATATGATAGTGAATCTTGTTTAAATACAGAATTCTTAAATTGATAGGGCCCAATATAAAGTACAGGTGAATTGCCATATTTCTCCATGTTAATCTGGGATTGCAAAAAAGTTGCATCTGTGAACCACGAATGAGTTGAATCATTTTGAAGGTTTTCCAGTTCATTAAACCAAACTCAAGTTGGAATATTTAATATCCTTCCAGCATGTTTTTGACTTGTTTCTCAGGAAATCAAGGTTGGCTTGCAAAGCAGATCTGTTGATGTATTTTTCACATTGTTTACAAAAACAATTTGTGGGTAAACTGAAACATATCCTCAATGTTGAGGTGTCTGACATCTTGGAGTAAAGTGGCCTTAATTTTATGTTTCTTAACTGTATTAAGAATCATATCTGACCATGTTCAGAAACATCTTCAATCATGTAACAAATCAACTGATGCTTAACTAGTCATTTCCAGAAACATCATTAATCATGTTTAGAAGCACTAGTTGATCACACGTAACAAATCAACTGATGCTTAACTGGTCATGTCCAGAAACATCTTCAGTCGGGTTTAGAAGCACTAGTTGATCACATACAAAAAAATCAATGTATGCTTCAACATCTGATGAATCTTATGACATTCACATACCCTATTCATATGACTTACTCTAAGATCATAAACCCGAGTTGTCATTGAGACCATACTTAAGTCTGATGAATACAGGTTTTAATTTTTACAACAAATCATGTGTTTGAAATATTAACTGTTGTGTTACTATAATGATTTATTTCTAATCTAGATCATATATAAAGTTTTATACCTGAAGTCTCTCTTTCTATTGAAAGTTGCATGTGACAGTTTACAGTATGTTAAAAGAAAGCTAACAATTTTAGAATTTTCTCTTTTCTCAAAGAAATTTATTTCGAACAAATACGGAAAATGAGTCTGTTACAGATATGTAAAAGCTGATTCCATATATTATAAAGTATATAATATTTATGATATAATTCTTACAACAATGAAAAAAATAATGTTGAAAGAGACATGTTTCACTTATATTTTTTAAAAATCTGAGTTTAAATAAAAACTTCTATTTATTTTTTATTTATGTAATATAATTATCTATATACTAAAAGAAAAGTGGTAAGTTTACAGACTTAGAATGTTAAAAATTGTAGTTCAATTCCACGTGGCAGACACAACAGATAGCCCAATATGACAGAAAAAATAAACTAAAAGGAAACTATAGTCATGCGGCACATGACTATAGTTTCCTTGAATCATCTGCATGACTTGTAAACCCTCATGACTATAGTTTCCTTGAATCATCTGCATGACTTGTAAACCCTCATGACTATAGTTTCCTTGAATCATCTGCATGACTTATAAAGCCTCATGACTATAGTTTCCTTGAATCATCTGCATGACTTATAAAGGGTTTACAAGTCATGCAGATGATTCAAGGAAACTATAGTCATGAGGCTTTATAAGTCATGCAGACGATTCAAGGAAACTATAGTCCTGAGGGTTTGCAAGTCATGCAGATGATTCAAGGAAACTATAGTCATGAGGCTTTATAAGTCATGCAGATGATTCAAGGAAACTATAGTCATGCGGCTTTATAAGTCATGCAGATGATTCAAGGAAACTATAGTCCTGAGGGTTTACAAGTCATAAGAAACTTTAGTCATCAAGATGACACAATGAAACCATAGTCAGAGAGCTTTATTGAGGGTTGAATTCTTCTAGAAATAAATTAATCAGGTTGAAGCATGTAGCAATCATACTTAGAAGTCTGCGGAAGTGTAAGTTTAGGCAAGTACAAGATGTTTCCAGATGTACAGGTTAAAGTGCTACAATATTAGGTTTCCACATGTACATGAGTAGAAATTACGTTATTACAATATTAAAGGTTTAAGTACTCTGATGAAATAGATTGTCTGCAATGATTTTATAAATCTTGAAATGATTAGGCTTAAGTGTCAGAACTATGTTGTAATGAGAGGACAGATGATTTTTATAAAAAAGCCAACATGTCGAGACTTACAGAGAGCAATGTAGTAAGTTCAAGATTGGTAAAAAAAAAAAGGCAAAGTAACTTTTTATATTGAGTTGTATGTTCCTGTTTATTATAATTCGTTGCTATGTATGGAAATGCTATCATCATTTGTAAATTTAATATACAATCCACAAGAACCCTAGGAATAATTACGCCTTATTCTAGAGAAAACTTTTAGGTCTAGATCAACAAGAAACATGTTAATATCTAGTTCATCGTGAATAACATATCTGTGGACTTGGTGCTTCGTCAGTACAGCGTGGACTCTGATATTCTGGAATGGCCTAATTCTGGACTGGCTTTAAACCTTTGGCTTTTTCTTTGGTTGCATAAAAGAACTAGGAGAATGATTGCTAGAATAAAGAGCGCTAAGGTCACAGCCACCATGGTCCAAGCCAAAGTTCGGTACATGGGCTCCACTATTTCTTCCATAAGAAGACTTGTTGTTGGAGGAAAAGTGCGAATTCCTGCGAGTGAAGGTAGATGTCTTAACCACAAATTAGATTCCGTTTGACGATAATCTTGGGCAATTCTGAAGTCTCGGTCAATGCGATAATAAGTGAGATTGTCTGTATGTAGACGGGGCCATTTTGCAGGGAACTGGAAATTCACGAAATCTGGCATTTCTCTAAGAAACAATAACAGCAGTGACTGGATATTTTATTTAAAGAAACCAACAATTAATCGTTAAGTTTTAGCAATAATAATAATAACTGGACATTTTATTTAACAGAACCAGTAAGCATTCGTTTAGCAATAATAATAACTGATTATGGAAACACTTGCTTATAAATCTTTTTTTTATTAACTTATTATAATAATAGTAAGTGGACATTTACTTTGAGGGTTTGTTTGTAATTAAGCACAAAGCTACACGATGGGCTATGTGTGCTCTGCCCACCACGGGTATCGAAACCCAGATTCTAGCGTTGTAAGTCCGCAGACATACCGCTTTGCCACTGAGGGGCTACTTTGAGGGAAGGCATCACCTACTCGTTAAAGTTTAGCAATAGATTTGATAAAGTCTAATTGGCAAGTTTTATGCTTAAAGTTTTCCAATAATAAATTATTTTTCAAATACCTGTCAAAATGTACCTTTCTTAAGGATATTTTCAACTTTGAAATTAATTTAATGTGCATTTAGATATGAAGAATAGCACCTATATATTGCAATATCTGATATTAGGTTAAATTTTAAAATAACTTGTGTCACCAAATAACATTAAAATTGGGATTCGAGACCTGCACTAAACACAGCAAAAACAGCTCATTTTACATTTTGTGTTTAACTATAAAACGTATGTCACCGATTAGGCACTTTATATGTAGGGAGTATCGTACAACTTAGAATTATGGTTATCATAGAGGTACTAGTGACAAGCAAGGAGGATCTGACGAAGTAGAAACAGGGTTATTGCAGAGGTACTTGTGAAAAAGTAAGGAGAATGTGACATATTAAGACCATGGTTATTATAGAGGTACTACTGACAAGCAAGGAGGATCTGACAAATTAGAAACATGGTTATTGTAGATTGTGTTTCTTTCTTTGTAATTAAGCACAAAGCTTTTTTTTATTAACTTATTATAATAATAGTAAGTGGACATTTACTTTGAGGGTTTGCTTGTAATTAAGCACAAAGCTACACAATGGGCTATCTGTGCTCTGCCCACCACGGGTATCGAAACCCGGATTCTAGCGTTGTAAGTCCGCAGACATACCGCTTTGCCACTGGGGGGCTATTGTAGGGGTACTACTGAAAAAGTATGGAGGATCTGACAAATTAGAACCATGGTTATTGTAGGGGTACTAGTGAAAAAAGTAGGGAGGATCTGACAAATTAGAACCATGGTTATTGTAGGGGTACTAGTGAAAAAAGTAGGGAGGATCTGACAAATTAGAACCATGGTTT